GAAAATGAATTCATTGACCAGGAACAAATATTTGAAAATGACAATTTATCATTTTCTGAGAAAATGAAAACACGGCCTTTCCCTTTTTTTCTCAAACAAAAACAGAGTGAGATTTTGATTTTTTTGAGCTAAAAAGGAAGAAAATCAATTTGATTTTGTCATGATCAATTTTTGAGTTTTTTTTGTTGGTGTTTGTGAGGATAAGAAGAACACAAAGCGCAATTGGGATAGAAACTCTTGGTTAATTAAAAATACCATGTCTTAATTTTGAGGCCTTTTGAGGGCATTTCAATATATTCATATGAGTTTTTGACCATATTTAAAAGTTTTTATAAAAAAACTGACTTTTTGAAATTGGGGTCTAAATTTTGAAGAAGCCAAGCAGGAGAGAGTGCCGAAAAGAAGAGAAGAGAAGTGAAGCGAGAGAGACGAAAATGGCGAGGAATTCAGGGGTTTTGATGCCGCAGTTGCTCTACCACCACGTCTGGGAGGTTTTATCAATGTAGTTTGAGCGACAGAACGATGGATTGGGTGTGGGGATGAGCTGGGCAGTGACAATAGAGTTTGAATGATTGAGTTTTTCAAAGAGTTGCATAGAGAGAGAGAGAGAGAGAGAGAGAGAGAGAGAGAGTTTTTTTGGTTGGCTTTTTTCAATTTTTTAATATTTAACTAGCCTCTCCACACGCGCTTATGTGCCTGCAAGAGGCTTTTTTTAATTTTTTAATTTATTTTAGAATTAAAAAAGATAATGGAAAGTTGTGTTCCATAAGAATAGGATCCATTATCTGATTTTTCTTTTAGTTTTAATTTTGTTTAAATATGAAAAAGTGTGAATTTACCATATTATCCTCATTTAATTAATAATTTCAATTATTAATATTTGCATTAACTAAGGGCATTTTCTGGCATTTTGAATATTTCACCATTCTCTGCCTTTTGCTTTGTATATATAGATAATGATTTATTAAATTTAATTATAGTTTTTTAATAATATTATATTTCAATTAAATAAAAAGTGGGTCCTACATGCAACACGTCAACACTTAACAGATATTTTAACCGTCAATTTAACGACAGAACCATATTGCAACAAATTTTCAAGAGTTAATTTCAATTGTTAACCTCAACTCTCACGGTCTTACCTTAAGGCGTGTTTGTCCATGCACTCTCAATTTTAACAATAAAGGGTGAAAGTTACGGGTACCAAATTGAAATTAACCAAAAATTTCAATACCGGAGTGACAAACATATAAAAAAGAATAATCTTAAAATCATTAAGCTCTTATGTTTTAAAACCACTTGCTATTTTCAGTTTGCTACTTTAGGACGATGAACTTGTATATAAACCCCATTTGATGAATGAAATAGATAAGCAGAACTCAAAGCAGTTCCATAACTTCTTCCTTTTGCTTTTATAATTGTCTTAAAATTCCTTTCGTTCTCTTATTCCTATAAACTAGGAATTCATAGTTCTATCGACTAGAAGTTTTAGATAAAATATCTCCCAGATACGATATATTGGCCCAAGCATATAAAATTGTATTTTACATTTGAATTTAGGGTTAATTACACTTTAGTACCCTATAGTTACACCCTTAAAACATGTTAGTCCTTATCTTTTAAATTTTTACAATTACATACCCCAATCTTTTAAATTTATCACAATGTGGTTTCATTATTATGATTTCCGTCATATCTCTCTGTTAGTTGCCTACGTGGCACTATGTTTTTTTTCTTATATAAAAAAATTAAATTGATTAAAATATTTATAAATAAAATAATCTCTCTCTCTCTCTCTCTCTCTCTCTATCCCAATTTCTTCCCTTCCCTCTATCCCGATTTCTTCCCCCACCCATATTTCTTCCCCTACCCCGATTTCTTTCCCCCACCCAGATTTCTTCTCCCCGGCGGATAAAATGCCCCACCAAATATCTTGCAACTTCAACTTCAAATCCTTCATTTATCATCCCCACTTCACAACAAAAACACCATGCATGTCCAACAATATTATCATCTCTACCTTCTGAAGCTACAAGTATCCTTCCTCCACCAACAATAGCATATGCTAGAAAATCTAAGTCTATACAACATGAGCAAGTCAGTGGGAACTCGTCGTCATCCCTTCTGTCATTCCTCTCCGAAGATATGGAGAATCCAAAGAGGGAAAATCATAAGATAAACATCAAGCATTATAAAATTAATTAATAAATAATTTAAAAAAAAACATGTACTTCCGACAAATACCACAACCTCAATACAATAGGGTGAGGATAAACTTAATTAATGTTGTATTAAACAGGTCTATCAGTTACTGATTTCATTTCATAAATTACAAAAATCTTCCATTTATCAGTCTGAACCATAAGTAAAGGTGTGTATTGTTTATACCAAAATGAACAGTCTATGAAGACTAGACACGTGGACGAAACTAAACCTGACCATGGTAGCCTTCGGCACCATGCCTACCGATTCATCCATTAGGGCAACAACCTTTTCGGGACACGTGGCATGCCCACAATCAACGTCTACAATTCCATATCGAAATTCTAAACGAAATGCACACCTCCCAAGGCCTATAAAAGAGGACTGTTCCGTCTACCCAAGTGCAAGTAGTCACACGTAGTAATAATCTTGAAAGTCCAAGTATCGTATCCTCAAGGAGCAGGTAGGCAAATATCTGCATACAAAGAAATAATTAAACGTACCACAATAAAAATGACAAGCAAAATGGAAATGGTAAGGCATCAAGGTTCAATTATTTAAACAAAATATGTTTCATGCTCTTTAATCCAAATTATAACTCGACTAAAATCATCATTGAGAAACTTTAACAGGAAGATAAAGAAATTAAAACCAATTTAATTTTTCAATGTAATCTTTTATTAATGATTGTTCAGAAAATGGAGTTGCTTAATATCTACTCTTTTAATGTAAAAGCATGCCAAGTCAGTTCTTAACAATGAAAAAAATATAATTGAACTCATGAAAAGATAATAGCACTTAACATCAATCAAAATAAAAGGATATGAAAATATTGAACAACCAACAATAAAAGAATTTAGCAATTCATACCGTATATTGGATTAAAGAACAATTCACAAACTTACTTAAAGAACATTCCCTTTAGCCTTAGCTAGAGTTCTAGCAACTCATTACAAAGGAAAACATAAACTAAATGGATAAAGAAATCTGTCGTAGAGGTGCCCTTGCCAAATAAGTTGATGGGTGATTTATAGTAGTCAATGAGGTGAGTGGGAAGTTAATACATTCATGGTGGGTGATGAAGGGTTTAATTGAGGGATTAATTGGATTAAACATGTGTTGATGGTGAAGAGTTAGTGGAAAAGAAATAACGGTGAGGTAAGTGGGCGTTAAATGGCTATGAATGACATGAAATAGTTCAACAGTTTTGTCTTCTCTTCTCCCTCTTGACTTCTCTTTATAATCACAATAATCCCACAATCAATTCTTCAATTAAATCCGCTAGCAATTCTCTTCGCACCTAGCTTGAACTTGGACAATTGTATGTCTTCATCTTTTGGCTTTCCAACTTCCTACATAAGATAAATTCACCTAATAAGTTCACCAAATTAACATAGAAAATTCATAAATCCAGTTGGTGAGAATAAAATGTAACAACAAGTGAAATTATATTCATTACGCCAAAATTATATCATAAAGTCTCCAAAATAATAGTAAAAAGATGTAATTTGAGATTCTCATCAAGGACTCTTATCCCAAAAGGGAGGTAATCAGAACTAACGGCATACTGCCTATCGATCCGTCAGTTCAAGTTTGCTAAATCCGTACTTACTTAAGCATCGAAGAGCCTTCGGCCGGTACCACACCGGTACCCTAGGTCTTACCGAGCGTTTGTTATCTTGCAGATCACCCTACTGAGGCCCAAAGCATACCGAAGGCCTAACATCACTAAGTTGAGCGGGAAAGTTGCCGAACCATTTTTTCGCATCAACATGTATACTAACTAAAGGAGACGGGGAACCTCATAAAGATATAATCTGATCAACCAAGAGTGAACAAGAACACATACATAAAAGTAAACATATATCTCACATGATTCCTCAGATAATATATTATGTGTTCTTAAGATGAACACTTACTACTCCCACAAGACAAGCATCTTCGCTGGGAAGATATCTGAGCGTGCAGAGAAGAAATCGTGATAGAGGGAGACAAGAAGAGATTTATTTTTAATTTATATTTTGATTTTTAAAACATTTTATTTATATTTTAATTAATTTATATATATATATATAGCAAAATGCAGAGAATGGTAAAATATTTAAAATATCATAAAATGCCCTTGGTTAATGCAAAGATTAAGAATTGAAATTATTAATTAAATGAAAATAATATGGTAAATTCACACTTTTTCATATTAAAATAATTAAAAATAAAATAAAAATAAGATAATAGATCCTATTTTTATGAAACACAATTACCCATTATCTTTTTTAATTCTAAAATAAATAAATAAATTATTTTTTTTTAAAGCCTCTCGTGGGTACAGAAGCACTTGCGGAGAGGCTAGTTTAAAAATTCATAATAAAGAAAAAAAATAGTGCCTAGGCAACTACAAAGAGATCGATGAAAACTTTAACCCTCCATTTGGAAAATGGAAAATCACTCGGAATTTAGCTACAAGTCAAGAATTTAAGAGGAGAAATTGACAATTCCCTCGTTTGGCAACTCAATAGCAGAATTTATTAAATAACGTGGAAAAAAATCGTGGAAATTGGGGCATCAAATTTCCTAGTTTAATTTCCATCAAAATATGTGTCATTTCACAATTTCTATAGTGTCATTTACAAATTCGACATATATAAATCTAAATACTAAAATATTCAATTGCAGAAAATTGAAATGATGAAAATCTAAATTCCGTCATTTTAGAAATCTATGTAATTTTCAATTTATTCATCCAAATGGATGGTAATGGTAGAACTACATAGTAAGTAATTGTACAAGTTTAAAAAAAGAGTAAGCGGGAGAGAGGACCCAAAAGAAGAGAAGCGAAGTGAGAGAGACGAAAATGGCGAGGAATTTGGCGGTTTTGATGCGGCAGTTGCTTGGTAATCGCAACAACCCGTGTGCAGCAGGTCTTCTTCATCATCTTCACCAAAAATCCATCCAAAACCTAACTTCAATACGAAATACCACACCATCTTCACCACAGACAATCGATATTCGTTCCGCTTCCAAACCCTTCTCCCATTATTCCATTCACACCCCAAACCTTCAATTTCTGCAACAGCGACGATGCCTCTCCTCATCCTCGTTCTCACTCTCAGAGTCAGAGTCAGATTCAGATTCAATAAATTTACTTTCAGGTCCCTCAAACCTATTCGTCATTGAGACTCTCGTCATGCATTATGAGGCACTTGAAAAGTTAAAAGTATGCCAATTTCTCCACCAACCTCATCCCCTCTTAATTTTACAAATATTCAAAATAGGAAATTAAGTTTTGTTGTGGATTTTTAATTTAATTTAATTTATTTTTAATTCCTTGGCATAGATGATAGTTTGTCTGCGGTTTTCTACTACACTGCACCCGGGTGCCGGGCTAGTAAGTTCTGACTTCTAATCAATGAATTTACTTTCATTTTTTTGGTGTAAATTTACTTTCATCGATCAAGTCATTTGCAATAAATTGCCCTCTTCTTGTGCAGCCCGTAAGTGGATAACTCCAATCTTTGATGAGTTGTGTGACCAATTCCGACATATAACAATGTATAAGGTTTACATGGATAAGGTGTGTAATTTTAAAATGGTCTTCCTTCAACTTGGATTATTATTATTATTATTATTATTATTATGTATTATTGTGAATTTTATGTATCCCATCTTTAAAATTAGGTCAAAACAAACGCAAGTGTTCTCAGTCATGTAATCCAGTTATGGGTCTGAAGTTTAATAAATTACTGTAATTTTTTAAATTTTGAATTGGTTTGTGGTTTATTGGAAACAGTAGTTCGGTAATTTTCTTACTCCTAGGCATGTACTTCTTGTGCAGCATGGTATACTGTTTGATATAAAACATTGTTCTAGTTTCTTTCCTATGTCACATGATTAATGTATTAATTTAGGTGCAATAATTATGTCTTTAAATTCCCCAGCGTGTTAATGGGGATATTTCCAGATTCATGTAGCAATTTTCCTATAAAAGGGGCTACTTTGTAAGCATAAAATCAGAGTTAGTGAAAAAAAAAATTCTTGTGAATTTCTGCTTGTGTGTGAGGCACAGGTTGTCTTGGAGTGATTCCAAGGCACCTCCGGTGTGATGTCTAATTTCTCAACTTTAAACCTTTGGTGGGATGCCAAAGGCTTAGAGTGAGTCCAGATTTCCCATTTCTTCCTATCTTCCCTCATTGTCCTACATCGATCATGTTTGTTCGGGGTGAAAGATAACTTAATTGGGTACATGATAACACAGATGTCGTTTTCATTAGCTATGCATTATTCCCTTGCCCATGTCGTGCATTATTTTTTTTTTTTCCATACTCTAATTAAGATCCGACATGCAGCTGCCTATAGAAGAATCATGATATCATATTTTGTTGTGCCTCTAAATTAGTAGACCTAATGTTGTTTATTGTATCTACAGAATGGCCCATTGGACATATTTGGAGACAGGGTAAATGATCCGATCCTTCTATTTTGTTTTTATCAGAAGGTTACTTTAGTCAAACAGAAAAGGTCAATACATCACTACACTTTTCATCTTAAATTGGTTGGGATTCCAGGGAAGATGTTGCCTATACTTTTGTAATAACAATAGAAATATTGTTGGGATTCCAGGGAAGATTTGCCTACACTTCACTTTTCACATTTGACAGCCCATGATACTGTGAAGTAATCAAAATTGTGTTTTTCGAATGCTGAACAGTTGAAATGAAATGTGCAACAAGGCATAGTGGGTGAAAGATAACTTAATCGTCTACACGATAAAACAAATGTATTTTTCATTAGCTATGCATTTATCGCTCGCTGATGCAGTAATTTGTTTTCCCTATTCTAATTCTGATCCGCCGTGCAGTAGCTCATAGATGAATCACAGTATTATTTTTTGTTATGCTTCTGAATTAGTAGACCTGATGTTGTTTATTCTATCTATAGAAAGCCCCTGAATCCTCATTGGACAAGTTGGAAATTCACAAGACGGTAAATGATTTGATCCTTCTATTTTGTTTGAATGTAAATGTCTGCACTTAGTTCAATGATATAATTTCACATGTGTTTCCCGTTTTCAGACTAGTTCTAAATTTGGCTTGTATTTCTTATCATATTCTCATTAATAATTTAGAAAATTGTAAACAAGCTATTCTTATCCTGGAAAATGGGCTAAGCGGTTTGTTCAAGCTGAGGGAATATATTTCAGCCCTGATTTAATCTTAAATGGAAGATTACTCTGTTGATCTGTGTGTTTTGCTGCAGCCAACGTTCCATTGCTATCTAAAGGGGGAACGGGTAGATGAGCTTGCCGGTGCTTCAGCCAGACACTGGAAAAAAAGACTTGAAAATGTCTACAAGTAATTCTTCTCCCTGTTAATCTACTTTTTCGGGATTTTGTGTATTTGTGAGTGGAGTCATATATTAAGGTTCATGATTGTTGAAGTCGAGGTTTCAATAAATGTGATCTTTCTATGTGTTTTTTTAATTCTTTCTGATATATGGATGAATGATATAGTAAGTTACTAAACTGACCCTATTGTTGAATTTTTCTCATATGGTGTACTTCCTACTCAATGTATGTAAAGCCCCTCTGGGATGAAGAAAAGGAAAAGGAGAAGACAAGGTAAGAAAGATGAGAATGATGGAGGACTTGTTCAGGTACTTCCAAGTAGGTTTCCTGAAACATCACTGCCTGGAGTGTTGTCGAGTCTTCAGGGATCGACTAATGCAGGAACATGCCGTTTTGGGATGTGGGCTTTTGCAAAGGGGATGCTTTTATGTCAAGAGAACAGACAGAGAATTTCTAAATTGGAAGGTCGTGAATCCAAGTTGGAATGGTTAAAGCATGAAATGGCTGAGAAATGAGTTAGAGGCACTTGTATGTTAAGTTGCCTGATATTATTTTATATATGGTTTAGTTTAGACTTGTGTGGTGCTGAATTTGGAATTTGGATAATTACCTTATGCTTGACTGTCATTTAGGTAATTGTAGTATGTTGACTGCTGTGGTATAATTATGATATGTTTGGCTGTTTTTGTGTTCCTATTGTTTGAACAGTTTTGGGAAACTCTTCTTAGCAGAAGTATCAAAATATTAAGTATAGATTTTAGGACAAACTACAAAACCCCTAGAGTATGGGGTCAATTTTAATTTGATACTCATTTTGTAAGACATTTACAATTCCATACTCAAACTCTTAAAAACCCTACAAATTGACCTCTTTGTTGCATAACTCAAAACCATTTGATCCTTATAAACACACACACACAACCCAAAAATTGACAACTATCCTATTATACATATTTTACATTCCGGTTATGACCTTTTACATCAAATTTTGAGAAACAAACCCAAAACTCACCAGCTTGGATATGATTTTCTTTAAAATTACGGTATTGTCCTCCTAACCCTGTCAAGCTCATCTACTGCACTTGCACTGTTCATTAAATTTTTTATACTTTTTATTTATTTATTATTTATTTCATCAAGTGAGATTTTCATTACAACGCCAGAAAATGCACCGGAACACAAACAGAAGCAAGCCACCGAAAGAACAAAATACAATCACAAATCAGCTCAGTGCTCATACTAGCCTATGAAAAAAAAAACATAAAAAACTGGAGAAGAGGGGAAAAACGTACACCGCAAACACAACCAAGTAATGTATATTCTACCTTTTACTTTGTCCAAAGATCATCCACTATTGATTAATTGATTAATTAGCTAGTGAAATTTGCTATTAATCCTGTGCTAAAAGTTTGCCCAGCCATAGAATAAATCGAATAGAATAATATTTTTTCAACTTCAGAAAAATATAGCATGAGAAGCAGACTAGGTAGACTTTAGTCATCACCAGAAATAAGAGTACTTTTTTTTTGTTTTATCTCAAAAAGGATTTGAGGGCTTATGGGAAGCAGAGAGGGCGGTGTCCCTACTTCTTGGCAAGGCAGATGGTACAGTTCTCCAATGTGGTGGTTTATAGTTATCAGTATATGCTTGATCCTTGGGATTATTTGTAAGGAAATGCAGGAGTCTATTGTTGTGTTTGATGAGGCTCACAATATTGATAATGTGTGTATTGAAAAGCAGTGTTAATGCACTTGAAGTGTACATCTGATGCCCTTTAAGTGTTTTAAGTAAGCCATCTAATACACTAGAAAAACATTGCTATGCCCTTGAAGTGTACTGCTTATGCACTTGAAATCTACTGTTAATCCCCTTGAAACTAGTATAAAATTTAACAAATGAAATCAAAAAACTACTATAAAATGCGAGAAAAAAGATGATCATAGAAGATGGACGATGCCTTGGTTTTTGTGGAGTGTCTGTTTTTTGAGTTATTTCTGTTGGGTTTGGGAGATGCATTTGATTGGGTTTTTTATTTTATTTTATTTTGCTTCTATTTTTATTTATTTATAAAACGTGGGTTGGGCTGATTTTAAGTTTTCTTGTGTTTCTTTATGAATTTTTGGTTTGGTCTTGTTTTAAGAATTGTTATGAAATTATATATATACTAAAACTGATCCCCGAATTACTGTTCATAAACTGTTCATTAGGAATAGTGAAATGACGTTTGTGCCCCTACTTAACTGGTTGCCCCCTTAATTAGAAAACCCAATTCCATCGTCTTTCTCACTGTGAGAACCGAAGATGTCAGTTTCAGCTGTGTTGGGGCCTTAATTGGTGGCTATGGGTGTGGCCGTGAAGAACCCATCTGCGACGGCATCGTTTGGGGTCCCAAAGACATCCCCATGGCCCGGCTCAGTTGGTGGAGGTACTGGGTTGATGATTGAGTGTTCGTCGAGGCCACTGCGCATCACAGGAAGACTCGGCCTCGCAAAACGCAGTCATGGGACGTGAAACGTAAGCCCACTGTGTACACTCCTCTGCCTCCTCTCCCTGCCGACTAGACATTGGTCTCTTCTGCAGATGAAGCTTCATCTTCTTCCCCACAAGAGCCACCCACTACTGAGTAGAACTTGGTTTGCCCAATTTGGGTTATTATTATTTTGTTTTGGTTTTGTTTTTGTTTTTGGAGCTTTGGACATTTGAGCTTTTGTGCATGGTGGGTTCTGTTTGACCAATTATTATCATTTTGCTTCATCCTGCTCCTTTATCTATCTGCCTATGTAATTTGGGGTTGGGTTGGTTTCTGGGTTTGTGCCCCATTTTGATTTGGTTTAAAATGAACTATCAGATTTTAAAAGAGATATTTAGTTATATATTCATTCTTAGCACTAAAACTATAAATAAATCTTACATAATTTAATTTCCATAAACAAACCCAAAAAATAATAATTGGCCATATTGAATTTAATTTTAATTATTAAATTACTTTGATGCCCTATTGAGTGTTTTGGGTTTTTTTTATGAGGTTTTGAGGTTAGGTTTGTTTTAAGAAATCAATAGTAATTTTGTAATTTAAAAGAAATTAAGAGTCTTTTTGTTATGTTGTAAATGAGCTTTGAGTGTGTTAAGTCCATTTCATATAGGTTTTTTTTTTTTTTTTAAATTTAAGTTCCTGTATTGGATATAATAGTGAATCTCCCATGTAAAAATTAATAGCTGCTTGGTTTATTAAAATATGGTCAATATTTTAACATGACAAGCTGCATATAAAACATGTTATTAGTGTATTCTTGTAACTTGCTAAACAAAGCATGATACCATTGTTTAGATCTCCATGTCTATATAAATAGTACCATCTTTCCTACACATTTTAACGACTTTGTACACATTTTACACAGTTTTAAAACCAATAACATCGTGTGGGCACCTTTGCCCGTTTATACTAAAAGTGCAACTTTTAACGACTTTGTACACATTTTACACAGTTTTAAAACCAACAACATCGTGTGGGCACCTTTGCCCGTTTATACTAAAAGTGCAATTACTGCTTAAGTAATCATAAAGGCAAAAGTAATAAAAATATTCTTTCTGTACATGGTATACAACCCTCACAGATACAAAAATAATTCTGATTTTTGTATCCAAAATGTTTCCCGTGGTTCTTTAACTTCAGTTTCGTTAGGACAAATGATCCTGCCGTTAATTTTGTTAAACTTTTCTGTTAAATGCATAGACAAAATGGTATTTTTGTACAAATGGTATTTTCTTTTATTCATTTTTTTGGTTTTAATACAAAAATATCATTTTGCCCCTGCATTTAACAGAAAAAGTTAATAAAATTGACGGCAAAACCATTTGTCCTAATGAGAGTACTTCGATACCCACAAACTGTTCTGCAATGATCAATCAAAACAATGATTCAACAACAATTTCACTTTACCTTTATTGCATGAGACTCTGCAAACTTAGAAAGGTAGTTTCCCATAGACGGTGACAACACATCAACCCCATCATAAATAGCCTCATTGAAAGCTTTCAGCTGATTCAGCCGCAGCACCAACATGGCCTGTACACGGCCAAATGAGCCCGGGGTGCACCACCTCTAACTACTCCTAGGATGAGGCCTTTGTAACTTACATTGGCCACAAAGGAACCAGCAGAGGTTGTGGCAGTGTGTGTGCCATGTCCCATTGCATCTCTAGGACACAAGAACTCTGGGAATTCAGTGGTGTTGAATGGTCGTTCATTATCAGCAAGGAAACCAGCTTTGAACCACTTTGCTCCTATAAGTTTTCTGTTGCAGTCTGTTGTGGCATTGAAGCGTTCTCCTGATTAGCACCGACCCTTCCAACATGTTGGGATTGGCCCAACCCCCTCATTATTTAACATTTTTTACTCTGGCCATATTCCTGAGCCAATTATACCAATGACAATCCCATCTCCCATCCTTGTGTCATGCATAAGATTTGTGGGAGAATGAGAAGAGAGGCCTAGATAATCCCGACTCCTAGTATTTTGCAGCGTATGAAAGCTACTAGGCATGACATGAGCAACCCCGGGTAACTCTAAAACAAGATTGAACAGAAGAAATATACTCGGTAATTATAATCAGAATTTTTTTAGGCATATATGCATTGATCAAAAGTGGTCATAGAAGAGAGTACTCAATGTAAAAGTACCTGCAATCTCCTTGGCTTGAGATTCTAAGCCTCGCTGCAAAACCAGAGAAACCATGTTTGTAGCTAGACTATTGAGCCAATGGCGGCTTCTTTGCTGCAGCATAGATTCAACGACACATAATCAACAACCATTTTAAAATTTTACCTCCAGAGACTTAACATTAATTAAGTCATCTTCAAACATGGAAGTTTCCAAAAACAGCATAACCATGAATCAAAGAGAATTAAGCAGCCGTCACCACACCTTTGCAATGCAGGTGGCAGACTAAAAACAAGCAAGAAAAAAAAAACTACTTGAACAAGACTAAAAATTAGAACTCTGTTCTCACAATTCAAACGGCTTAATCAGAAGCTTAAGCACTCCTTATGGTGAAACTGAAGTAGCATGAAGTGTAAAAGTTACTGATTTGAATGGAAGTAAAACTGTTAGGGCATTATTCCTACCAACAACTGATGCCAGCATCTCATGATGTGAACTGGTTACAAGCTCAGGATGCTCATGCTACTTCTCTCCAGTATAAACTATGTGAAGCTATATATCAGATAGACAGTAATTTGTGGTAATCCTCCATAAATTAAGAAATTAGAGAGAAAGATTTCTTGTTTTTGAAGCAGTACTTACTCTTCTCTTGGCATCAATCGGTGCAATCAGGGTGTCCTGGCCGTTGAAAACTAAGAAAAGACTACCTCAGTGAATGTGTGTGGCTGTCTAATTGTCATAAACCTCGAGAGAGTTAAGTGTAGTTTGAAGTACTATTGTGATTTGGTGCTGGTGCAAGTGATCCTAAAACATATGAGATTGGTTTGAATGTGAAGGTATATGATACTATTGGGAGTAGAGTGGACAAGGACCCACCTTACAGGTACATTGGCAATTAAGGATATGGTGTTTAAGTGGTGAGGGTTCATCGTTTGCATATGGCTTAGACTCATTATTATGTGGTTTTTACTACCCATGCTCATTGGTGTTGTAGACTGTTGTTCGCATTTGTACTGAGCCTAAAAAAATTGAGACTTTGAGTGAGGTCAGTTCTTCACCTTCTGAAAGGGAGATCAAAGGGTACTGTTGGAGCGTTAAAGTTCGAATCCTCCAACAAGTAATTTTTTATTTCTATGTTGAGAAGCCGGACACCATCTTTGATTATCACCATTGAGTGAGGAGGGGGGTACCTGCAAGAAAACACTCCGACGCTCAAGTCAGTGTTCGTACATGAATACTGCAATAAAATCAATCATCACTCCCTCCCCCCATGCTGGGGGATTAGTTAGCCTTTTATAGGCATTGAACCCTTGGACTCCAAGTCCCATATCCATTATTTATCTCCATGCTCAATGGTAGTGGATATCATGTTATTTGATTCCCTCCACTCCCTAAATTTAGGGTTCATGGGAAGTGGCTTGTTAATTGGGCCTTAATTTTTGCTCCCACAGGTACATACACAAAGCGAAGTCTGATAGGCAGTCCACAAATCCAATTCTTTCCAGATTGTATTTAGCAAATGCATCTCTACTTCCAAGAAAATATAATATTAAGCATCTCTTAAAACTGTTGCCACAATTATAGGCAACTATATACTTGGTTCATCTATCATGTATTTTTAATGTAGAAAATATATCCATTCAACTGTAGAACCAACTATATGAATGGTTTATCTATCATGCTTGGTCTCCCCCTTCTTGTTTCTTCAAGGCCTTGCTTTGTCTGCTTTCCACTCTCTTCTTTCTTTCATTGGATCTAAGATCAAACAAGATCAATGAAATTCTGAGGCTTAAAAAAAATCAAAATTTAGTTATTGCTTCATAACCAAAAAAAAAATTGAAATGGAATTAGATACTTACATTTAGAAGTATAGATAAAACAATAACAACCTTTCAAAATAAAGGCTGTGAATGATGATAACAATAATTCAAGGTGAAATAAGAATATCAAATAGCTCAACATGGATAAATGCTCAGGTCAAACTTGACTCACAAGTAAGTCAAACCAATCTTCATTCTCCAACTAAACCAGAAAAGGACAAGAATAAGTATGGATATTAAGTATATCAACAATAATAAATGATTAAGGCAGATGTGATATACTTACATGGGTGCCATGCTCCGCACAATTTCTTACAGAGATGAGAAAGTGGATGGGATGTCCATCCACCATCCACTTAGAAATAATAAATTTAACCTCATAGCTCATTTTTTACTTAATAACAAGATTATCTCTGTTAGAAGTAATAAGATTATTAGCTCTCAATTGAGTATGCCACATCACCACAAATTCAGCTTCATTTGCAAAGAAGCTATCCCAATAACCCTTGTATAATTTTATTGCATTCTATCTTGCAACAAAATCGATACTGTCAAAAAGAAGTCTCACAAACAAAAACCTAGCTCTCATCTTCTCTATATGTGTCTTCAAGAAAGGGCTATGCAACCATAGAGACAACATGACACTGAAATTTAACAAAAATGACATATTATCAGAGAGAATATGTTGTAAAAGTTTCAAGATAAGAAGACGTCGTAAAAGTTTCAAGAGAAACAAACCATTCTTGAAAAGAAATGAGAGCTTTTTCTATTGACTTCCCTCACTCTAAATAATACATATAAGGGTACAATTTCTGTTGCTTGCCAATTATCATAATGAGATTATTTTAATAAGAATGTCTTGTCATTAGGCATGCAATGCAACGTGGAGAACAAATGACAGAATTATCTATTTATAGAGGCTATTTATTTTTGTTTGCACACTTAGAGGAAGAGACACCAACATTAATTTTCATATTAAAAAAGATGAACAAATCCTATATGATAGTATTAAAAACGTTTTCGAAAACATACTAATAGTTCAATAATAATGATAGTATGTGACTTACGTGACATCATTGTGCAAGATCCTACAGAAAAAATCTAGCTCCTTGGGCAATAAATCATCAAGAATGATATCAAATACATGTTCAAGCATTCCGGTATGACTTACTCCAGTCAATGAAAATTTTGAACAGCCTAATACCGTGCTTTCGTTTCTTAGCCATATATTATCCAATGTGACATTTGATGAAGTGAGGTATAATGCCTTAATCATAAGGTCATATGAAGTGAGGTATAATTGTACTGGTGATTCACATAGAAATGTCACCCTATATAACATATGGCTAAAAAACGAAAGCACGGTATTAGGCTGTCCAAAATTTTCATTGACTGGAATCAGTGATACCGGAATGCTTGAACATGTATTTGACATCATTCATGATGATTTATTGCCCAAGGAGCTAGATTTCTTATGTAGGATCTTGCATAATGATGTCACGTAAGTCACATATTATCATTATTATTGAACTATCAGTATGTTTTCGAAAACGTTTTTAATACTATCATATAGGATTTGTCCATCTTTTTTAATATGAAAATTAATTTTAGTGTCTCTTCCTCTAAGTGTGCAAACAAAAGTAAATAGCCTCTATAGATAGATAATTCTGTCATCTGTTCTCCACGTTGCATTGCATCCCTAATGACAAGACTTTCTTATTAAAATAATCTCATTATGATAATTGGCAAGCAACACAAATTGTACCCTCGTATGTATTATTTAGAATGAGGGAAGTCAATAGATAAAGCTCTCATTTCTTTTCAAGAATGGTTTGTTTCTCTTGAAACTTTTAGGACATATTCTTATCTTGAAACTTTTATGACATATTCTCTCTGATAAGATGTCAATTTTGTTAAATTTCAGTGTCATGTTGTCTCTATAGTTGCATAGCCCTTTCTTGAAGACACATACAGAGAAGATGAGAGCTAGGTTTTTGTTTGTGAGACTTCTTTTTGACAGTACCGATTTTGTTGCACGATAGAATGCAATAAAATTATACCAAGGTTATTGAGATAGCTTCTTTGCAAATGAAACTGAATTTGTGGTGATGTGGCATACTCAATTGAGAGCAAATAATCTTATTACTTCTAACAGAGATAATCTTGTTACTAAGCAAAAAATGAGCTATGAAGTTAAATTCATTATTTCTAAGTAGATGGTGAATGGACATCCCATCCACTTTCTCATCTCTGTAAGAAATTGTGCAGAGCATGGCACCCATATAAGTATATGACATCTACCTTAATAATTTATTATTGTTGATATACTTAATATCTATACTTATTCTTGTCTTTTTCTGATTTAGTTGAAGAATGAAGCATGGTTTGATTTACTTGTGAGTCAAGTTTGGCCTGAGCATTTATCCATGTTGAGCTATTTAATATCCTTATATTACCTTGAATTATTGTTGTCATCATTCACAACCTTTACTTCGAAAGGTTGTTATTGTTTTATCGATACTTCTAAATGTAAGTATCTAATTCCATTTCAATTTTTTTGTTCTGAACCAATAACTAAATTTTGATTTTTTTTTTTTTTAACTATGAATTTCATTGATCTTGTTTGATCTCAAATCCAACGAAAGAAAGAAGAGAGTGGAAAGCAAACAGAGCAAGGCCTTGAAGAAACAAGAAGGAAGAGACCAAACATATATCAAGCATGATAGATAAACCATTCATATAGTCAGTTCTACAATTTAATGGATGTATTTTCTACATTAAAAATACATGATAAATGAACCAAGCATATAGTTGTCTATAATTGTGGCCTTTTGATTCCAGGCTTTGAGATTTTATTTTAGATGAATTTGTTTGTATCATATCGTTGTCTGTCTTGATGTACTTTGCTAGAAGCAACACCATTCCCTGAGCTTGGGAAATTATTTTTACTCCCGTTCCCATGTTTCTCTAATGAAGGAATTCTACCTTTTGATAAAACCTTATTCATTTCTATGGAATTTAGAAGTATTGAGAGACAACTTTGAACACTTTTCAATCAAGGTGTGTTGTTTTGTTCATCATTCTGTTCTAAATTACCAACAGTTTTAAGAGCTAAGAGATGCTTAATATTATATTTTCTTGGAAGTAGAGATGCATTTGCTAAATAAAATCTAGAAAGAATTGGATTTGTGGACTGGCTATCAGACTCCGCTTTGTGTCTGTACCCTCTGATCTCCCTTTCAGAAGGTCAAGAACTGACCTCAAACTTAAAGTCTCAATTTTTTCAGGCTCAGTACAAATGCAAACAACAGTCTACAACACCAATGAGTAAGGGTAGTAAAAATCACATAATAATGAGTCCAAGCCATGTGCAAATGCGAACGATGAATCCTCACCAATATACTTAAACACCTTATCCTTACTTGCCAACGTACCTATAAGGTGAGTCCTTGTCCACTTTGCTCACAATAGTATCATGTACCTTCACATTCAAACCAATCTCATATGTTTTAGGATCACCTTGCTCCAACACCAAATGACAATAGTACTTCAAACTACACTTAACTCTCTTGAGGTTTATGACAATTAGATAGCCACACATTCACTGAGCGACTTAGCGACACATGTCAAAACTAGTCTAATTTTAAAAAATAATTAAAACTCTGCATTTGCTCAATTGTGTTTTTGAGGTTTTGTCATTCTTTGGGTTATGTTTAAAATTAAACCAGTTTTGACAAAACCTCAAAGAATGACAAAACCTCTAAAACACAATTGAGCAAATCCACAGTTTTGATTTTTTTTTAACTTTTTTTATAAAATTAGACCAGTTTTGACATGTGTCGCCAAGTCATGAGAGTCCTTTTCTATATATAAAAAAAAATATAACCGCCCAGATATACTCAATTTTTTAATTTTTTAAAAACAAGTACAGCCACAAGACTATACTACCAAAAAATAAAGCTGGATATCCAGAGGCAAGAACCAAATTTGGAAAAAAAAAAAAAAAAAAAAAAAAAAGAAAATCAGCAGCTAGCCCATATTCCTAAGAGTTTGTCCAATTTTCATATCTACAATTTGGAAGGGTCTCTTTCAGTTTGGAAACATAGAAATCGTTTGGTTTGCCATAACAAAAACTACTGCAGTTCTCTCTCAGTGAGAAGGTTTCTGCATAAAATTGGATTGCTGATTGGTGGTTAAGTTTGATTGTGTTGGTTGGTTTGGTTTATAAAAGTGATACATAAAGGATAAAACCAAAACTAAAAAGTCCAGTAATAAGAATCAACAAGAACCCTAAATGAAATATCACATTTTTCATATCAAACCAATATCAACTCTGTAAATGAAAAATACAAACCTGCAAAAACATAGAGACAGCAGCAAGTCTATCTATAACCACACAAAAATGTCAGAACCAATATCTCATTAACATCAAACATATTTCAGAACCAATATATCATGAACATCAAGCAAGCAAATTTTCAGAACTCACCACCGCTAGCCTCCATTGCAATAAAGAGGGTATTGTGGTTACAGTTGGTGAGTGCAAGGAGCAAGCCTCCATTGCAAAGGAATTCAAGTGCTCAGTTCAGTGGTCACCAAAAGTCTAGGGCTTTAAACAATTGGAGACAAATAAACGGTTTTATTATCTTCTGATTTTTTTTTTCTGTTTCTTTGTTAAATAAATTTTTTTCACAACAAAAGGTGCGGTAAGACAAAAAAAATTGAACCAAGCCGGTATTGAAAACAAGAAAAAAAAAAGTGTCTCCAGAAACGGTTAGATAGAAGTTAATGAGTAAAAACCTGAGAAAGTGTTCATAAGCAGTACCAAAACCCAGACGACCAACAAAATTGCAAAAGCTAAAGAGAGACAACAGTATGAACTATAAAGCAAGCAAAACACATCACTCAAACTCATCACCAGAAACAGCACCAGAACCCAGAACCCAGAACCCAGAACTCATCACTCAAACTAAAGCAAGATGAAGCAAGCAAAACCCAGAACTCATCTACCCTTGTTACAGCAGTTGATTATATTCCCCACAAATCCTGTATATAACCCCTACACAAATAGCCAAACCCCAAATTGCGTCTTCTCTTTCTTTCTAATCTTATATCCAACGTGAATGCCATTTAATAGACAGTACAGAGCAGTATCTAGAGCTTCACCTAATTCCCAAAAGCAAACAACCGAAGAAACTAGGAAAATTCAATAAAAGATGAACCTTTACAACAGCCTTAGAAAAAAAAAAAAAAAAAAAAAAGAAAAAAAAAGAAAAAGAGAGAGAGAGAGAGAGAGAGAGAGAGAGAGAGAGAGAGAGAGAAGAGATGATACCTGCCAGACGAGAGATAGAGATCGATGAAGGAGCAACGCCGATGCTGTCGCCGAAAGATCTGAGGTCGGGAGAGACAAGATCTGAGGTTGGGAGAGAGAGGCGCCGCTTAGGTCAAAAACAGAAGAAAGAAAAATTATACCTGCTAGACAAGAGAGAGAGAGAGAGATCGACGAAGGAGCGACGCCGGTGCTGTCGCCGAAAGATCCAAGGTCTGGAGAGACGAACTCGGGAGAGAGAGGCGCCGCTTAGGGTTTTGATTGTGAAGAAGAAAGAAGAAGACACGAAAAGAGAAGAGAAGACTGACTGAGTGAGAAAGATAATCGCGTGTAAGGTGAGGAGGGTTAGGGAAAAAAAAAAGAGAGCTGAGGATATGCTGCAAGCAGGTTCACTGAACCTTTTATTTTGGCCAATCAAACGACGTAACGTGTAATAAATATATATATAATTAAATATTTACCGGTTCGGTTCAGATTCATCGGTTCTGAAAAATTTTGACCTGAGAACCAAACCGTTGACTTTCGGTTCGGTTCAGGTTCATGGTTGACTTTTTCAGTTTGGTCAAAAAACTTTCTTTTTCGGTTCGATTTGAGTTGGTTCTGTCGGTTTGATCGGTTTATCGGTTTTTATGCCCACCCCTAGTCTTATAGGGTGGAATACAAATTTTATCCTATGATTCCTTTTACTGGTTTTTTACTCTAAAGAGATAACTTTGACCTCTTCTATCTTTTGTTACGGCGGCAGCTTATAATTTACTTTTTTTTATTTTTCTCAAAAGCTTATAATTTACTTTTATTTTACAAGCTTATATGACATGACCCAACCCAAATTCCATTTTGGAATCTGAGTTGAACCCTGCATCCGAGCCGAAATACCCCACTCGGGATATCATGCACCCGAGCCGAAATATCCCACATGGGGTATCCTACACCTAAGCTGAAATATCATACTCGGCCAACATGTCATACCCGAGCAACATGTTATAGCTGACCTTTATATGCTAGCCCAATATGTCATACCCGAGCTGGTCTTAGAGGTACTTAATTGGCCTTAACTGAATTGACATATCCGAGGTGGCATTAGAGGTACTTGATTGGCCCCATCTGAACTGACCTACCCGAGCTGGTATTAGAGGTACTTAATCAGCCACAGCTGAACTGACATACCCGAACTGATCTTAAAGGTACTTGATTGGCTCCAGCTGAACTGACCTACCCAAGCTGGTATTAGAGGTACCTGATGGGCATCCAGCTAGCCTCACCTACCTAACCAAGTGTTTTCAAACTTATTTGTGCCTGCCACCAAGAATTACCAAGGCTCGGATCTCCATGACTCGACTCGCCATCGAAAGTTGAATAATTTGCATGATTGCCAATCATTTGCAGTTGGAGAAATTTTTTGGACTCAAAACTCAAATTTTTAGTTTCCACCCCTTGGATTGGAAATGGTCTTATAGGGTGGAATACAAATTTTATCCTATGATTCCTTTTACTGGTTTTTTACTCTAAAGATATAAATTTGACCTCTTTTTTCTTTTGTTATGGCGGCAGCTTATAATTTACTTTTTTTTATTTTTCTCGAAAGCTTATAATTTACTTTTTTTTATTTTTCTCGAAAGCTTATAATTTACTTTTATTTTACAAGCTTATATGACATGACCCAACCCAAATTCCACTTTGGAATCTGAGTTGAACCCTGCACTCAAGCCGAAATACCCCACTCGGGATATCATGCACCCGAGCCGAAATATCCCACATGGGGTATCCTACACCCAAGCCAAAATGTCATACTCGGCCAATATGTCATACCCGAGCAATATGTTATAGCTGACCTTTATGTGCTAGCCCAATATGTCATACCTAAGCTGGTCTTAGAGGTACTTAATTGGCCTTAACTGAATTGACATATCCGAGGTGGCATTAGAGGTACTTGATTGGCCCCAGCTGAACTGACCTACCTGAGCTGGTATTATAGGTACTTAATCAGCTGCAGGTGAACTGACTTACCCGAACTGATCTTAAAAGTACTTGATTGGCTCCAACTGAACAGACCTACCCAAGCTGGTATTAGAGGTACCTGATAGGCATCCAGCTAGCCTCACCTACCTAACCAAGTGTTTTCAAACTTATTTGTGCCCGCCACCGAGAATTACCAAGGCTCGGATCTCCATGACTCGACTCACCATCGAAAGTTGAATAATTTGCCTGATTTCCAATCATTTGCAGTAAAGGCTCATGACTCAGAGCAGGCTGTTTGGCTCGGCCAATCAAGAACTCGTTCTCAACTAAGAACTTGGGGGGCTTGTTGTTATACATATGGCTGGCACCAAATGGCATCGCCTATACTTGATTGCCAAAACACTCGAGCCGAAATAGCCCACCTTGCACCCGAGCTGAAATACCCCACCCGATGTATCCTGCACCCGAGCCAAAATACCTCACCTGGGACATCCTACACCCGAGCAATATGTTCTAGCTAACCTTATGTGTTAGCCCAATATGTCATACCTGAGCTGGTCTTAGAGATACTTAATCGACCTTAGCTGAATTGACATATTCGAGGTGGCATTAGAGGTACTTGATTGGCCCCAGTTGAACTGACCTACTAGAGCTGGTATTATAAGTACTTAATCAGGCCTAGCTGAATTGACCTACCCCAGCTGGACTCAACTATATGAATGGTTTTATCTATCATGTTTGATAAATGCTTGGTCTCCCTCTTATTGTTTCTTCAAGGCCTTGCTTTGTTTGCTTTCCACTCTCTTCTTTTTTTCATTGGATCTAAGATCAAACAAGATCAACAAAATTCTGATATTTTTTTATATAAAAAAACTCAAAATTAAGTTATTGTTTCTGTTGTTATATATATGGTTGGAACAAAATGGCTTCGCCTATACTTAAAGACCAAAACACTCGAGGGTGGGGTATCATGCACCCAAGCCAAAATACCTCACCCAAGATATCCTGCACCTGACCGAAATACCCCACCCGAGGCATCCTACACCTAAGTAATATGTTATAGCTGACCTTTATGTGCTAACCCAATATGTCATACCCGAGCTGGTCTTAGAGGTACTTAATTGGCCTTAGCTGAATTGACATATCCGAGGTGCGATTAGAGGTACTTGATTGGCCCCAACTGAACTGACCTACCCGAGCTGGTAATATAGGTACTTAATCAGCTCTAGTTGAACTGACCTACCCAAGCTGGTATTTGAGGTACCTGATCGGCACCCAGCCAGCCTCAACTATATGAATAGTTTATCTATCAAGATATATGCTTGGTCTCCCCCTTCTTGTTTCCTCAAGGCCTTGCTTTGTCTGCTTTCCACACTCTTCTTTTTTTCATTGGATCTAAGATCAAACAAGATCAATGAAATTATGATTTTTTATTATAAAAACTCAAAATTAAGTTATTGTTTATGTTGTTATGTATATATATGGTTGACACCAAATGGCCTTACCTATACTTAATGACCAAAACACTTAAGCCGAAATACCGCACCCGTGGTCTCATACACCCAAGCCAAAATACCTGACCAGGGATATCCAGTACTCGAGCTAAAATACCCCACCCGGGGCATCCTACACTCGAGAAATATGTTCTAGCTAACCTTTACATGCTAGCCCAATATGTCATACCCGAGCTGGTCTTAGAGGTACTTAATCAGCCTTAGATGAATTGACATATCCGAGGTGACATTAGAGGTACTTGATTGGCCTCAGCTGAACTAACCTAACCTAGCTGGTAATAGAGGTACTTAATCAGCCCTAGCTGAACTGACCTACCCAAGCTGGTATTTGAGGTACCTGATTGGCACATACCTGGCCTTAACTATATGAATGGTTTATCTATCATGCTTGATATATGCTTGGTCTCCCTCTTCTTGTTTTTTCAAGGCTTTACTTTCTCTACTTTCCACTATCTTCTTTTTTTCATTGGATCTGAGATCAAACAAGATCAATGAAATTTTGATTTTTTTTATATTAAAAAAACTCAAAATTAAGTTATTATTTCTGTTGTTATATATATGGTTGGCACCAAATGACCTCGCCTATACTTGATGACCAAAACACTCAAGCCGAAATTCCCCACCAGGGGTATCATGCACCCGGGCCAAAATAACTCACCCGAGATATCCTGCACCAGAGCCGAAATACCCCACCCGGGCAACATACACCCGAGTAATATGTTCTAGCTGACCTTTATGTACTAGCCCAATATGTCATACCTGAGCTAGTCCTAGAGGTACTTAATTGACCTTAGCTAAATTGACACATTCGAAGCGACATTAGAGGTACTCAATTGGCCCCAGCTGAACGGACCTACCCGAGCTGGTATTAGATGTACTTAATCAACCCTAGCTGAACTGACCTACTCAAGTTGGTATTTGAGGTACTTAATCGGCACCCAACTGGCCTTACCTATATGAATGGCTTATCTATCATGCTTGATATATGCTTGGTTTCCCTCTTCTTGTTTCTTCAATACCTTACTTTGTCTGCTTTCCACTCTCTTCTTTCTTTCATTGGATCTGAGATCAAACAAGATCAATGAAATTTTGAGTTTAAAAAAAAACTCAAAATTAAGTTATTGTTTCTGTTGTTATATGTATGGTTGGCACCAAATGGCCTTACCAATGCTTAATAACCAAAACAATCGAGCTAAAATCCCCCACCCAAGGAGGTCATGCGCTTGAGCCAAATACCTAACCCGGGGTATCTTGCACATGAGCCGAAATACCCCACCCGGGGCATCCTACACCCGAGTAATATGTTCTAGCATACCTTTATGTGCTAGTCAAATATGTCATACTCGAGCTGGTCTTAGAGGTACTTAATCGTCTTTAGCTGAATTGAAATATCTGAGGTGGCATTAGAGGTACTCAATTGACCCCAGCTGAACTAACCTACTTGAGTTGATAATATAGGTACTTTATTAGCCCTAGCTGAACTGACCTATCCAAGCTGGTATTTGAGGTACCTAATCGGCACCCAGCTGACCTCAACTATATTAATGGTTTATCGATCATGCTTAATATATGCATGGTTTCCCCCTTCTTGTTTCTTCAAGGCTTTGCTTTGTCTGCTTTTCATTTCTTTCTTTTTTTTCATTGGATCTGATATCAAACAAGATCAATGAAAGTCTGATTTTTTTTATAAAAAAAAAAACTCAAAATTAAGTCATTGTTTCTGGTGTTATATATATGGTTGGTACCAAATGACCTCACCTATACTTGATGACCAAAACACTCAAGCCGAAATTCCCCACCTAGTGCACCCGAGCCAAAATACCTTACCCAGGATATCCTAC